ATATGTCAATGACTACAGTCAGTGCCCCATACCTACAGGCCCCCCTCTGCAGATTTAATCAACTGAAGATTGAAAATATTTGAAAAAAAAACTGCACAGAATGGGGACAGACCTTTTTCCCTTGTCATCATTCCCGAAACAAGACAGTATAGTAATAATTTATGTGTGATTACATTTTATCAGGTATAGAAATAATCTAGAAGCTTGCAAAGTATACAGGAGAATATATTTAGTTTTGTACAAATGTTGTGTCATTTTATATAAGTGACAAGCATCTTGGATTTACATATACGTGGCGACTCTGGGAAGAATGCTTTGCAGAAGCTGAAGGCACTGGAACTTAACATCTCTGTGGAGAGGCAGCCTGGCACTGGGAGCACAGTTAGGGCCTTTTGGTGTTGCTCTTGACCTGCAGGGAGCACACCATTCTGCCAGGGTCTGTTCACCTGAGTTCCCACTACGCAGGCCTTCTGCGTGTGACACTTCATGGAGCTCCACATGGTTACTTTTGTGCATTTAACTGTTGGTTGTGTTTTCCAGAAGGAAAATAATCCATAAAAGCACAACTTGTGTTTCATTTGTGTACTACTTGTACAACAGAATAAAAACATCAACACTTATACTTCAGAATGTAAAAAATGAAGAAGAGCATGTATGGAGAAGAAACTTTAGAGTGATACTTTATGTTGTGCTGACAATGTTTAAATTATTTAACACAAGCATGATTTTTATCTATGATAGAAAGCAACTTTTACTTTACTAATTTTTATTTGTGACTTCATTGCTGTTTACTTGTGAAAGGTGCTGATGAGAGATTGTTTTTCTTACCTTAAACCATATCCAAAGGTATACTAGCTATTAGGGTAGTGGCAGGAATGGAAAATAATATTTTATATAATATCTTTAGCTGAGAATGCCTTTTGGCACTTTACAGAGTAAACAATAGTGTAAATAACCTTGAACAAAATTTGTCACTATTATGCATTTAATATACATCACATCAAATAAGAAAGTGTGGCCAGGAGGCAAGGCCTTTGCTGTTATTATTAATATTCATTCCCAAGCCTACTAGGAGTGCATATATAATAAAGTAACTTGCTGATTATAAAGGTCAGCAACCATAAAAAGATTTACCTGTCCACATATCTCCTTGTAAATGTTGACCACATTTATGTTAACAATGCAGAGCCTACAACAGAGGCTAGGAGTTGGAGACATGTTATATAATGTGAATGACAGCTATTGATTTGCCTAGGAACTCAATGTTCAATCCACTATTATGCCAGGAACTGCCAAGGTGCCCAACAATCTCATTACAAAGGAAAGTCTTGCATTCTTTTTTTTTGTGCTGCTATAAAATCTGTATTTTAAATTTTGCTCTCTCTGCATCTGTGTATGCTCATGTGTGTACATTTACTCACAAAATATGTACTGTATTTATTAGCCAGAGTTTATTGACCAGAAGGATAAGATCTATTAATAGCCCTTAGTTACACTTGATCTCCTTCTGTTTCCTCAACTGTGGAATTTGAAGGTTGCTAAGACAAAAGTGAACCAAACTGCTTTAGGAACTCAAGGACCTCCTAGAACAGAAGAGATTGTGACACACTAAAATTTAAAGTTATGCAAATCTATCGAGGCAGCCTACTTGGTCTTCAGTAAAGGTGGATGGTAGGGTAGGGATAACAACTTCAATGATAAGATTATGAGATCAATTATCATGAAAGATAGATAGACACAAGGTCAGAGCTGTGGCATGGGCCAAAGTTAGGTGAATAAAGGATGATGGTTTCTGGGGCTGTGAAGCAGCAGACACGAGGTCTTCTCTACCCACATCCAAGCTGCAGACTTGAGCCTGGGGCAGTGCCTGATTGGCTGAGGAACTCAGGCCAGAGGGAGGGCTTTCCCCACCCGAGAACTAGAGCAGGAATCTCTACCCCTGGATGGTTCAGTCCAGCCCTGTTGCTTTAGGTTGGGTGGTGGGGGATTGTTTATGTCCTTAAATCAGCAACAGCAAGAAAACTTAGAGCATCTCTTTAGACTGTCTCAGAAGGGGCCTGCTCATAGCAGCTGTGTTGGGGAAGTGTGGTCTTGGAGACTTGTTGGAAATGCATGTTCCTAGGACCCACTTTGGCCTTCCTGAATTAAAATCTCAGACAGTGGAGATTTGTATTTTAACAAGGCCTCCTGGTTACTGCATTGCATGCTAGCTTTTGGGACCATTATCCCGGACAGCCAGCTTCTTTTCTGTAGAAGTGTTAGAATGCCCCACCTGCAACACTCTACCAACAGAGCAAGAAGCATAGTTCTAAAGCTACCATAGTAGCTACCATAGTAGAGACTACTGATGGTAGCTTTAGCAGTTAGTGACAAGGCAGGGCCAGTGGGTGTCCATATGGTGACGGCAACAGCAGCATTATGTTAACTTCTGGAGAAACTCACCCTTTGTTACTACTGGGGTTCCACCAGGTACTGAGGGACGTTTATGAACTCTAGTTTTAATGTTACTTGAGACGAGTTATGTTGACCTTTGGACTCCATAAGACAATTGGGGACTTCGTGAACATTAAGGGGTGGTAGACTCAGGAGGAAATTCTTTTTCACTTGGGATAAGAAGGATCCTGGGAAAGCATTCAGGGTATTACCAGAAGAACTACTCCAGTGAGCTAAGGGAGAATTTTCACTTATCAATTTATATTTCTAATCAGTTTGGTTTAGAACATTAAATCTTTAAACACTTTTATGGATTCATTCAAGGCTCAGCATCCTGACTGATGGTGTTCTTGACTTTATGTTGGGATCTCTATGATGATTCTTCTGTCTAGATGATAACAAGGGAAGAATGGGCTCCTGTCAACAATCAGTTAAAGGTTCCTTTACTCAGCTGAGATAAAAATCATGGATCAGTGAAGTGCGGCTCTGCTAGCAGCTTTGGGCTTTGAGCGCCAGTGGCCCCTGGCACACAGTGTGACTGGGCTGAGCCCTGCTGCTGCTGGTTGGCATGAGCTAAGGCTTGATGCTGTCAGCCAGCACTGCTGGCCGCAAGTTTCTGTGCCTTCCATCACCAGGCAACCAGATGCACTGGATTCTGCTGCTCTCTGCGGATGAGCTGATCACTGCTGGCTGCTGGTCTCTGGAGCTGTTCAAGACTAACAGCTCCTGACGTTTACAACTCTTTCTTTACAAGCTGCCACTCTGTCTACACTACAGGGTTTTCTGAGCCCAGACTACCCAAGAAATAAATCACCAGGAGAGCTACGGGACCACAGAACAAGGCTTTGTTTGACCAGAGCCTGTGCTGTACCACGGGACAGGGGGTCAGTACACCAGTGGGAGCCCTCCGAGACCACCAACCAGAGAAGTGTGAGGGGAGGGCTGCTCATACAGCAACTGCATGCCTGTGATTGGCCCAAATCTAGACCTCTGATTGGTCCAAATTTGAGCTTACTGATTGATCCAAATTCTATTCTACTGCTTGGTTCAAACTCAAGTCTGCTAATGGGAGGGAAGACACTTCCCACAGCAGGGGGGAGGCACCCAGAACAGCCACAGCATCATAGTAACCATGGGTAGGAAACTGGGGAGACTCAGCTGTTTACATCTCCGCTAACACTGGGGCCCCTTCAGAAGGGCTAGCTGTGCTAACCCCAGCTCGCTGGGTGTGGGGAGGTTTGGGTCTGGATCCCTGTCTGACCTCTGCCGTGGTAGGTAGTTTCCCCCCCACTTCAGAGAAGGACAGTATTTGGGATGGCAGAAGGAGAGGGGGCTGACAGCCTGCTGAATTTCGAGTGGGGGCTGGAAGTCACCCAGGAGGACACTGAGGCAAGCCATCCCAGCCAATCTGGGTGGGGGGAGCATGGGGGGGGAATGTGACATCCTCCATGGAACCGTGGTCCCGTCTGGCTTCATGTGGAACGAAGAGGCGGGGAGCTGGGCTCTCGTCACTGGCTCACTCCCATCCTGAGGCAGCTTGACTAGAAGACCATGGCAAAGCCCTCAGCTGACACTGCCTTCATTCCCCGTGAATACAGAACTAGAGTCAACATCTTTCTAAGAGTTCTAAGAGTTTCTAGAGTTTCTACCTCTAACCCTTGCTGCATGTTAGAGATAACATTTTAAAGAACGTGACCTGGCACAAGGACATGACTGAGATCTAACATGAAACAGTGCAAAGCTGAGACCACAAAGACTGAAGAAATGACAGGCATTTATGGAACTTCTCCTCTGCCTTTGTTTTTAAGTATTTTGTGGATGTTATGGTTCATACACTGTGTCAACTTGGGGAGTCTAGAGGTTTGGCTAAGTGACTCAGCAGTTATGTTATGGTTCATACATTGTGTCAACTTGGGGAGTCTAGAGGTTTGGCTAAGTGACTCAGCAGTTCTGCATCCTGGGGTGAAAATGACCTGCATTTACCCTTCTGGGATGTTGTTTATTGTGTTAATTTGAGAAGTTTAGAAGGTTAACTATGCAACTCAGAAGGGGTCCAGGGTGCTTAATTTGTATTCATCCTGAGCCTGTGCAAAAGGCAGGCATGCAGAGGGTGTGGGTGTGGAGGACCACCCCCACCTCCCCAGGGCAGGTAGACTGCATAAAAAAAGGAACTGAGGAAGGACTGGCTGCTGGTTCTTCAGAGGAGCTCCTGTCTTCGCCTTCAGCTTGTTCGTCTCCTGGCTTCTGGTGCAGACTGTTGGGCTTCGGTCGGGACTCTTCAGCCTTCTGGTGTTGGCTCTCTGGCATTCATCTTAGATTCTTCAGCATTCTGTCGCAGACCCATCAGCCCCCTGATATGGACTTGCACGGACACTGCAGCAAGCTCCAGGCCCGGGCTGGGCTCTTCAATCTCCAGCGTGCAGACACCC